CTGGGAAGGTGGCTCAGTGGTAGAGCGCTTGCCTTGCATGCATGAGGCCCTGGGTTCGATTCCTCAGCGCCACATAAACAAAGAGAAAAAAAACACTGGAAGTGGCGCTGTGGCTCAAGGGGTAGAGCGCTAGCCTTGAGCTGAAGAGCTGAGGGAAAGCGCCCAGGCCCAGAGTTCAGACTCTATGACCGGACCCCCAAAAAAAGAAAAAAGAAAAGTGGGGGGAAAATATGAGTGTATTATCACACAGCTTATTTCTATTCTTTCTTTCCTTCTGTGCCCTTTGAGATTAACCTGTTCTCTTTATAGCTGCTTTTTTTTCCTTCTTGTGCCTGTAATGGAGCTTAAATGCTGGACCTGGGTGCTGTCCCTTAGTTTTTTTTTTTTTTCTCTCAATGATAGTTCTATAGCATTTGAGCCACACCACCAATTCTAGCTTTTTTCTTTTCTTTTCTTTCTTTTTCTTTTTTTTTGTAGGTTGTGGGGCTTGAACTCTGGGCCTGGGTGCTGTCCCTCAGCAATTCAGCTCAAGGCTAGCGCTCTACAACTTGAGCCACATTGCCACTTCCAGTTTTCTGGTGGTTAATTGGAGATCAGAGTCTCATGGACTTTCCTGCCTGGGCCAACTTTGAACTGCGATCTTCAGATCTCAGCCTCCTGAGGAGCTAGGATTACAGGCATGAGCCACAGGTGCCTGGTTTTTTTCTAGCTTCCTTAAAGTGGATGTTTAGATTATTGATCTAAAACCTTTCTGTTTTCCATGATGGGCTTTTAAAACTATAAATTTCATTCAGTGCTGCAGCAGCTGCAACATATAACGATAAAATGCTCTTTATTCAGTTTCAATATTTTTTAGTTTCTCTTGTGATTTTATTGCTCACAGTTAATTTAATTTCCAAATATTTGGGGCTTTGCTTGATATTTTTTATCATTACTGATTTCTAATTTAGCTCTGCTTTAGTCAGAGAACATAATCTGCCAGATTTTGACTTTTGAAATGTATTCAGACTTCTTTTAGAGTCAGCATATGGCCTATCTTGGTAAATAATCTACATGCACTTGGAAAGAATGTGTACTCTGTATTTTGGGAGTGTAATTTTCTGTCAATATCAATTAGGTTAAGATGGTTGACAATATTGCTCAAGTCTTTTTCATGCTTACTGATTTTTTTGTGGTTCTGGGGATCAAACACAGAGCCTCATGCATGGCAGGCAAATATTCTTCCCATTGAACTACAATTCCAGCCCCTTGATTTTTTAAAAATCTGTTTGTTTTGCTTATTATTGGGAGAGAAGTGTTGAAATTTCCAACTATTCTTTCAGAAAAGACCACATTTGGTATAATTCCATTTATATAAAATTTCCAGGATATACAGCCCTATAGAGACAGAATTAGTCTGCAGGCATTATCAAAGCTTTGTTTTAATTGGTGTGTGTGTGTGTGTGTGTATACACTTGTGTGTGTGTGCGTGTGAGCATGCATACATATGCGTGAGACTTCCTTAATCTACCTAAGCACATTCTTTTTTTGTGGGGGGTCCGGTCGTGGGGCCTGAACTCTGGGCCTGGGCGCTTTCCCTCAGCTCTTCAGCTCAAGGCTAGCGCTCTATTATTTGAGCCACAGTGCTACTTTCGGCTTTTTTCTTTTTGCTTATGTGGTGCTGAGGAGTCGAACTCAGGGCCTCAGGCATGCAAGGCAAGCGCTCTACCACTGAGCCACCTTCCCAGCCCTATCTAAGCACATTCTTAACTTATTTTAGCCTACTTAAAAAGTTAATATTATATCCATATAACCGCCCTTTACACTTCCCACATGACACATCCCATTTCCTACTTTCCATCTGACATTTGCAATTCACTAATGCATTAATTCATCTCAGCAGAATTCCATTTTCCTGTCTCCATCCCTTGTTGCTGTTGTTGTAACTCTTGCATGTGTCATGAGGTGCAATTTATAATGTTATTATAAAGCAGTTGTCTTTTAAGGAAATTATTGCAGGACAAAAAGCATATTATGCCTACCCATTTCTAAGGTTTGTTAAAGCAGGTCTTATCCTAGGGTCAGAGTCCTTAACCCTGAGTTATGGCATCTCTATGGTTTCACATGGAGTATTTAAAGTTTTTGTTTTTGTTTTTCCATTTTGGTTAGACCATACCTCCCACATCTTCTAGAATTGATTAATTTCTAGAATTTTTAAAAAGACATTCTTTGGGGGTACAACAGCTGTTCTTTGGTAGGCTTCATAGTTTCACCCTATACAGGCCACCGTGATCCAAAGGCAAGGACTTGCATCCAACCAAATACATACATGTCCTTACATACATGCACGCCCTTCAGTGTAGTTCCTACTTTGTGATGTGGCCCCCACAGAGTCTAGCTGTTTCAATACCCCTGAAAACCCTGGACTTTGCCACCCAGGCTTTGCCTGGGGTTTAGTTGCTCACGCTGCATGTAGAGAATATTCCTGGAGCCAAGAACTAAGGTAAAGGTTTGGTTCACCCTATAAGCACTCCTTTTGAGATGATTATATTTCCTGAAAAGGATTGACTTCAACACTGCTCCTACTAAGTGTGGTCCTGGAACCTGGGCTGGGCTTCAGATTGCTTTAGTCAATGTAATTCAGCTGAAGTTGATATTGTGCAACTTGTAAGTGTAGGTCATAAAAAGAATACAATCTCAGTCTGTCTCTGTCTCTGTCTCTCTCAATACTCACCCTCAGGACCTAGCCACATGTTGTAAGGAAGCCCAAAACAGCACATAGGAGAGATCCTCTGCTTAGGCCTACATGGAGACCAGAGCCCTCAGCTCACAGCCAGCATCAACTGCCAGATATGTGAGGAATCAACTTTAGTTGAGCCCATCTCTAGGCAATGCAGAGCAGGGACAAGTTGCCTTGAGGTGTCCTAGTTAAAATTCTGGTCCACAATATGTGTGAACTTAATAAAGGGTCATTTTATTTCACTAGTTTTTTTTTTCTTTTCTTTTTTTTAAACTGTACTGGGGCTTGAACTTGGAGCCTGGGTGCTGACCATTAGCTTTTTCACTCAAGGCTGATGCTCTACCTCTTAAGCTACAGCTCTACCACTTAAGCTACGGCTCCACTTCTGGCTCTTCAGTTTTAAATTGGAAATAAGTCTCAGCCAGGCTGGCTTTGGACAGTGATTCTCAGATCTCAGCCTCTTGAGAAGCTAGGATTACTGGCATGAACCATGAGCACCTGGAAGTAATCATAATGAAGCTCTAATAACCATAACACCATCCTTAGGAGTGGTAGTCGTGTGCTGCCTGTTGTCCATTGCTGAGAAGAGTTGCCTTATATATTCTGTCCTGTGTTACTGTTGTAGGAGTAATCATGGCCAAACCATGGCTTTCACCTGAGCTGCTATTCTCTCAAATAATGATAAGGATAATTATAAGAGCACCAACAATACTGAGAGCAGATTTCTTCTAGAGACTGCTTTCTATGTACTTAGTACTATACTGAGCATAGGTTACACACACTAACTCCACAGAAGCAAACAACAGTGTTGGGAAGTGGGCATGACTAACCTCCACTGGTTAAATGACTTACTCTGGCTCCAGGAAGTCCATGCAACTAGCCATATACAGAAACACGGATACACGCACAGATGAACTGGCATGCAGAGATGCTTATATGCCCATTACACATTTCCACAGTGTTTGTGCTTTTAAAATATTTCTCATGCTCAGAGCTAAAAATCCCCTCCCCCTCCTTTTATTTTATTTTAGGGTGTTGTTAAATAGACTGAAAGAACTCAGTCTGCTAGATATTAAGTTTCTAAATACATCCCAGGATGAAATTCTCTCCATCTGGGGCCACCACAGGCACAGGCAGCAGTGATAACTGTCTCTGTTCCCTTGCCAAGGATTGCCTGGGACCACACTAGGGGAGATGGGAGTGGGACTCTTAACAAGACTTGGCTTGGTAGATAGAATCTTCTCCTGGGATCTTGGGACTCTGCACTTGATGTTGTAAGAGTTTAAATTCAGAAAGACAAAGTGAACTCTTGAATATGCAAACAGGGAGAGCACAGAGCAAAGAGTGGGGGGGAGCTGGGCGGTCACTTAGAAGGGGAGAGGTTGAAGGAGTTGGAGAACGATCCCTTGTTAAAGCAAGGTCATTTCCGAATATTCCATAGCAGCGGTGGAAGCCGGTGGAAGGAAGTGCTATCCAAAGAGAGCCCTCTTCATTCTACATGGTTCCCCAATTTATCTTGACTCCCTCAAGGCAAGGGGGGGGGTACTAGGGAAGATATGGAGGCAGACTCTTGATCTATTCTTAAGACAGGAACCCAGAAATGCTACTTTGGGAAAGAAGAGAGCCTGCTGTGTTATTAACGATGACCTTTACCTAGAAAACAGATGCCTCAAATCCTAACCTCACACCAACTTACCCAGTCCAGGGGTAGGAATGTCAGGGAAATGTTTTGAGCTTCAGCTCGCCTCCCTGTCCATCCCTCATCTCAAGTTTAGTTTCGAGGCACTGTTGTAAGCTCCCAATAAGCACCTCTACAGACTCTTCCTATTCTCCCCCTACTTTATCCAGGTGAAATATCTGACAGCTTGAACTGTTCTAAGCAGTCTGAACAGCTTGCTCCTGCCCAGGACAGCTCAGGCCAGGAAGCCAGGACTGAGGTCTCCTCAATCCAGGCTGGTCCATCTCACTCATCTGGGTCTCCCCTCATGGCGCAAGGGGCTTCGGATGGAGGAGCGTCCGGGTCTCCCCAGCCTAGGCGATGCGGATGAGGGGGTGCCAGTTCATCCCGTCAGTCCCGCCCCCATCAACCTCTGCGGATCCGGCCAGCCTGTGTGGTCCCAGCCCTGCCCCATGAACTCTTTGTGTATTCAAGCGTGAAGAGGACAGAGAGAAAGGAACGACAGTTTGCGGTTTCGGATGGGACGGCCAGGTGGCTCCCGTCCCCAGCCAAGTTCAGGCGAGTTCCACCGAGCCCTCCCTCCGCCAGGCACACACCCCGTACCTCCGCCTCCAGGCGCAGCTCCGGGTCTCCGCGCTCCGCGGGCTCGGCGGCGTCCCAAGCGCCCCACAGCAGCAGCGCCAGGGCGCGCAGCAGGAAGCCGCCGTGCGCCACCATGGCGCGGCCGCTCCAGCTGCGGGGATCCGCGGGCGCTCAGCGGTTGCCCGCGATCGGGGGGCACCATGCACCGGCTCTGTACCACCCCTCTGCGGACGCAGAAGGCCCGGGGTGGGGAGGGGCGGAGGGATCAACCCGAGCCTGGGCTCCACGCGCTGGGTCGATGCCGCGCTGCGCTGCGCCTGCCCGAGGCCGTCCAGTCACCGCAGGGCCTGCCCGTGGGTCTGCGGGCCCGAGGACCGAGGGAGGAAGGGAGGGGAGAGGGGCGGGAGTGCCAAGCCCCAGCCCCACCCACCCCGCTCCGCCGCTGGAACAACACCACGGCGGTCCTCAGCCTCTTCCGCCACCGCGCGGTGCCGCCTCGCCCCGCGCGGGCCACTGCCCCGCCACCCTGGTCTCCCGTCCGTCCCCCCCCCCCCCCCCCCCCCCCGCACCCGCCCCAACCCGGCTCTCTCCAGTGGTTCGTGAATCTCTCCTGGGAGGGCCGGGAAATAAAGGTCTCTGGATAGTGGGTGCTGCCAAAGATTTCGAGGAAGAGGGGTCCCGGTATGCCGGAAAGGGTGTGGATGAATTCGGTCAGGAGTGGGAGATCAATTTCTTTGGTACCCTCGTGAGTCCTGGTCCCAGACACCTGCTGGGACAGAATGGTCTTGGGCCAGTCACTCACTCTCTCAAAGTCTGCTTTTCTCATCAGGAAATGGTGATAATAAGATATATAGCTCATGGGATTGCCTGGAAATAAATGGGCGTCGTACCTGGGAGCATGCACACAGTATGAATATAGTAAGCTGCAGCGGTGCGACCTTTAGCAAACGATTTAGCCTCTCCACACATCAGTTCCCTTGTAAATAAAATGAGAGCACACGACATTTCCCAGAGTTTCATGAAGATGAAAAGAGAAAATGAGCATAAAGTGCCCTATTTATTCCATATAAGGAGGAGATGAGGCTTTTCTTTTTTCTTTCTTTCCTTCCTTCCTTCCTTTCTTTCTCTTTCCCCCTCTTTTTTTTCTGTCTCCCTTCTTTCCTTTTTCCGCCCCCCACCCCTATTGTGCTAGGGCTTGAACTCAGGAATTACGCACTGTCCTTTAGCTTTTTAGCTCAGAGCTGGCTTTACCACTTGAGCCATACCTCCACTTCTTGTGTCTTGCTGGTTAAGTAGAGCTAAAATCTTACAGATGGGGCTGGCTTTGAACTGTGGTCCTCAGATCTCAGCTTCCTGAGTAGCTAGGATTATAGAAACAAGTCACCTGCACCTGGCTGGATGAAAAGCTTTCTGTGAAAACGTTTGCTAAATTGGAGCCATGAAAAAGTGAAGTATTCGTTGTCTAACTTCTATACTGAGCACACATTGCCATCTCTCTTCTAGCCTAGTCCACTCATCTGTAAAGTGCTAATAGATCCCTCATGCCAACTGCTGGAGGTCCTTGTGGGATTATTAGATGGGCGTGTGTGTGCATGAAAATAGTCTGGAATCTATAAAGTACAAAGCAAAAGTAACACAGTGTTCTAACCCTGAGGCTTAGGGCCTCAATGGTGCACAGAAATTTTGTTCAATTTAGAAGACGACCCACTGGGTAGAGAAATTGGAAAATGTTCTTTGAATAGTCATCTTTGAAACAGGAAATGCTTTGGTGACAGTAATAGGAAACAGGCTCTCTTTACCTTCCAATCAACCAGTCCTGGAAGAACCAATTAGAAACAGGTACTTCTCTGGGTAGATCAATGAGGAAAAACAAAACAAAAAAAAAACAAACAAAAAACACCCTTGCATGGGGCAGACATCCTTGTGCCTGGCATCTGCTGGGAGCACCAAGTTGAAAATGGATTTCTTTGCCCATCTACGTCCTCTCTCTGCAGGTGCCCCTGTGTACATCTATAAGGAGCATCCCTTCCTGAGTGGACACCTCAGAGAAAATAATATTTGGGCCGTGCCCTCAGAGAGCTTCCAGTCTAGCTGGGCAAACTGGAAATGAAGGTTTTTAGCTAAGGACCAAACAGATTTGGTTCAAATAAAATCCTTTGGTAGGCCAGGAGAGAGATTTGGAAAAAGAGTAGGATAGAGTTGCTAGTTAGCAAATAAAAAAAGAAAAAGAAAACCTCACCCTATGCAACTTGATTATCACATTAATAATAAATAATTCTTTGATACAGGTGGGTGCCATGCAATATTTCGATTCATCATAGTGAGTGTTGGAGGCTCATGCTTGTAATGCTAGTTACTCCAGTGTCTGAGCTCTAAGGATCATGATTTGAAACTAGCCCAGGTACAGAAGTCCATGATTAACTTATCTCAATGGTTAACTTATCTCCAGTTAACCACCAAAAAGCCAAAAGTGAAGTATAGCTCAAGTGGTAGAGTGCCAGCCTTGAGGGCAGCCTACTGTATGCACCCTGGTGAAGATATAAGAGAGAAATCTGAGGAGAAAAAAAAGCCAAGAAGGGGCAGGTCAGTTTCCTGAAAAGAAGTTCTTGGAGTAGGGATTTTTTATTTTAATATAATTTTATTGTTTTTACTAAGGTGTTGTACAGAGGGGTTACCATTTCATAAGTCAGATAATGAATACATTTCTCTTTTGGACAATGTCACCCCTTCTTTCACTTTCCCCCCAGTTTGCCCCTCTCATCACAATACTGTGAGATAGTGAGACTTAGTTAAAGTCACAAACAGATTCTAACCTTCATGGGGCAAACTGTCTTTATCATGGTCTATAAAGTTTATGAGTTCGATGGAGCTTTGACAATACAGTTATTTCTTCTATATAGGGTGATATGTACATTTCTTTCCTTTTGCTTAGTGTCAGCTGTTCCCTCTTTCCCTCTCATTCCCTCCCTCCCATCACTGCCATTGAGTTGCTTAGTTCTTTTTGATCAATGTCCAGTGCAGCTGATGGGTCCCACTGTTGTGTTTTTCCCATTTCACTGTTGCTGTGTCCTCCTCCTAGTTTCCCTCCAATATGCACATATATACCATATATGTGATCAGCAGCATGGGGTCATTTAGTAATGATTCGACCAGATGAGTGGAGGTCCTTTGTTTCTCAAGTCTTTTCTACTTTGTTATATCTCCTCATGTTTTGGATTTAACATCCACTTATCAGGGAGACCATGTGCCGTTTCTCTCTTTGCTTTTGGCTTGTCTCATTCAACATGATTTTTCTAGTTCCATCCATTTCCTTGCAAATGCCATTCATTATTTTGTCCTTTTTTGGGGGGGGGTCCAGTTGTGGGGCCTGAACTCTGGGCCTGGGTGCTGTCCCTCAGCTCTTCAGCTCAAGGCTAGTGCTCTACCACTTGAGCCACAGCGCCACT